CCCCATTATTAGTAATCTGTGAGTTGTTCTCGATTAAATATGTCTCTACAGTGTCAAAAAAATAGTGAGAAATGCTGGTTCTAACTTCCCACAGCACAGACGTCTTTGAATGTCTTGGTTTTTCCGACCAGCTGTCCAAATCACCACGATATTCAGTTCCTGATGGTATGACAAGAAAAGCCTCTTATAAAATGACTAAATGATGATTCAATTATCAGCTGCACATTAACTTTCTGACAACTGACTAATCATTGCAGCTCTAGAGAAGATCGATACCACTCATGTCTTTACGAAAACATGTTACAGCCAAAAGACTGTTAGCTTAGCTCCAAGACTGACAGCAGGGAGATGCAGTCTGCCTGGCTCTGTCCACACATCCACAACCAGACTACAAGCACCTCTAAAGCTCATTAACAAACATGTTACATCTAGTTTATTTAACCCATACAAAAACCAAGAGTAGCAACAAATTGTTGTGGTTCATGTGGGATTATGTGGTGCATCATGTTAAAGACCCCATAGAGCCTTATCACCCCAACAGAGCACGTGGCTCTCAAAGTCCAGGTCTGCTTGTGGTTCCTAGAGTCCACAGAAGTGGAACAGGAGGCAGAACGGTACTTGGCCTGTTGCGTCGTCTTCCTTTCCTCCCCTCTTTTTATTTTTATATAGCACCATTACATAACACTAACTGTGTCTCCTCTCTCCTGTAGTGTGTCCCCTCTCTCTCCCTGTACCTTCCTGCAGGTTCCCCTGGAGCTCTACATCTCTGATGAGCAGTCACCGGCCACATCAACCTGACCAGTGTTTGATTGTTTGTTGTGTCTTGTTGCTTGTCTTTCCTTTTCTCTCCCCTCTATCCACTCACCCCAACCAGTCAAGGCAGAAGGCCGCCCATCGAGAGCCAGGGTCTGTCGGAGGTTTCTTCCGTTAAAGGGAGTTTTCCCTCCCTGCTGTCATCAAGTGCTGCTCAGGGGGGTTTGTTGGGTTTCCCCTACAATACTGTAAGGTCCAGACCTTAGTATTTAAAGTGCCCTCAGTGGATTGTTGTTGTGAACTGGCGCAATACAAATAAAACTGAATTGAATCATTTCTTGTTCCAGCGACTTCCTACAAGTCATTAGTTCCACCCAGTTTCCTTTTGTTTCCAGTTTGCTGTTGGCGTCATATTTACAGACATGAGTGGAACTGATTTTTACATCTGCCTCCTGACATGAAAACATGCATTTCCCAAAAAGCTGAACTAGTCCCTTAATATAAGTGACCCTTGTAAACAGACCCCAAAAAAAAAACCCAGAGCAAATCTATAAATAGAAACACGCGACAGGAATGGAAACATTTAATGTGTCAATCATGAAAAATGATCAGAAAACACAATGTACACGTTCCTTTTTCAGGTTTGTCCCAATTCCTTAAAATAAACATGAGAAGAAAACCTAAATCCTTGGTGGAACAGCAGGAACACAACCTGACAAACAGCTAAGAGAGATTTTTTTCCTTGACTGAGACAAAGCAGTAGCTAAAAACAACAGACTGCCGACAAAAGCCTCACACTTTGTGTTTCCATGCACAGCATGACTCAGTTTGTTTCTGTCACAGCCAATGCCAAAGGGCCCGGGCCTCTGCAATACAAAGGCCAGAATCAATGGAGCTTTGGAAAAACTTATGGAAAACCAGTGGCCGACCGCTGAGAGGAGCTGGGTGGAGGGGGCCAGCTGAACACCAACACACAACATCATCACCACCACCAGTAGCAGTTGCTGCTGCGCCTTGCCCCTCTTATCTGTCTGAAAAGCCTCCAGAGCAGCAGCAGCCGAGTCGATATCACTCCGACTTCCCTGAACCCACTTTCAGGCCAAGAGACCGATCCAAAATGTCCAGCAGCACAGATCCAAACAGCCACGTTCACACATCTCTCTTGCTAATGAGTGCACTCACAAAAAGAAAAGAGAAACTGGGTTTTGTGCAGCTCATTCTCAGCTTACTGCCTCACTGACTGTACAGTTAAAGTACTATTCACTGGTTAGCATAGCATTCAATCCCAGCCTGTGAAATTAGCATTTTAAAAGCAAATCCACTTCCTGATGTGGTTGATTTAACAAGGAAAAACTGTCAATCACAGTTTCAAGACAACCAACAAAATGAACATGGAAAACAAAATCTGACAGAGAATAAAAAGAGAAACACCTTCATGGGGACAAATCTAAACTTCAGCATCTTTCTAAAATGGCAAAGACTCACAAATTCATTCTTATTTTCCAGAGCTGGCTGAACAGAAATGATTCAACCTATCCCAGATGCAATGTCCTCTAACAAGCTTTACAGTCCATGTATTTCAACGCTGAGCTTCCAGTGCAATAAACTGAATCTATACTGAGAACACACACTCTGTCCCAGCATGCCCTGCTTCCCAATTACACAATTAATAATCAATCTGTTGTGCTTCATGAATTAGTAAATGAGTTCTGCCACAGTGTGAGAAGAGAGGGGTAAATTACCTTCTGAAGGCTGTTTGGGTTCAGCTGCGTCTTGTCTATTATCTTAATTGCCACCTGTGAAGAGAAAAAACAGCACAGAAAATGAGTTTAACAGGACAATAGTAGAAGTGTGAAACAGAGGAAGTGGAATATGGCACCGAAACGAGACAGCTCAGAAAGGGAAACTGACAGTGAAGAGCTCAGCTGACAGAGAAGCACAATTTGGATAAACCACAAAGACTTCACAGCCATAGGACAGACACAACATTCCCTTTGAGAAAAATGGCAAAAAACACTCGCTGATAGGAAAAGAGCACCACTGTTTCATTAAACGTCATCCCATGTCTTTAGAAGAGGCCTGTTCATCACGTTAATAAATCAAATGCTCGGTAGCGTCGGCTCTCCCTGAAAACATCCTCCTCCATGGCTGTTTGACACGACTACTGGCAGCTACAAAAAGCCTTACTGAAAATATTCAAAGGGAAAGATTACACATTCAATGTGTATTCTAATTAGAATTTAATTTACATTAGTCAAAACTCGCAGGATTGTTTTGTATGTTTCGATCAGATTGTAATGGCTGTAAACACCTAAATCTCACTCCACTCCTGACAAACACTCCAGCCAGTTTCTCGGTCCGACTCACCTCTCTGCCAGTGAGGATGTGTCGGGCCAGTTTGACCTTGGCAAAGTTGCCCTTGCCGATGGTTTTGAGCAACCGGTAGTTGCCGACGTGCGGCTGCTGCGGCTCCTCCGAGCTGCGGGATCGCACGCCGGTCCGGGCCGAGCGCGTGCCAATCTCCTGACGTCCATTAGTGTGAGACGTGTGCTGTGGGAAAGACATCATTTAGCAGAGGTGATGGTTGCTGAATCGTACATACTATGTCAGTGGTGACTCATGTGGACCCACTGTGACAAAACCACTTATGTACGTAGTTCTCAATCCAGACAAGGACAGCAGGCTCTTTTCCCCAGCCACAGGTGGCTAATAAACTCAGTATGTTAGGCAGACATCAGAGAATCCAAACCCAGAGGCACCTCTCTGCTACAAATACCAACTGTTGCCTATACAATCTCATAAAACACTGAAAAGGTGAAGTTATTAATATCATATAATCATCATTTAATCTTGGATTCATCATTCAAGTCAATTTCAATCACAGATGCCAGACATTTGCTCCTCACCCAGAATCCACAGCTTCCACATACCAAAGGAGGTCACGTTCCCGTACAAGTCATTGACAACTAAACTGAAAAATGTGACCATGGTGAAGAGCGGAGGCCTGTCCCTTTTTCAACAGCAAACCTTTGAGCAGGTTATCTGCCAGGACAGAGGGCACCACAGTAAAACTGAAACAACTTATCAACCATTATCTGTCTTTCGCTTTATTTTCCTTGTCACTGCATTTTAACTTTGGTTCTTTGTTCTGAATTTATCATGTGTAAAGCACCTTCAAGAAACTCTCACTTTGAAAGGCAATATAAAAATAAACTTGCCTTGGCACAAGACACAAACATCTTAGGCCTGGCAGTGTCATATCCTGTGGCTGGCATGAAGAGGCTTTTTTTTTGCAAAACAGGAAGCACAGCAGAGCACAGAGAAGCAAACAAGGTTTCCAAAAGGTTAGAGAAAGTTAAAGGGGTCAGTCCATAGCAGCAGTCTGGTTCACGTTGTTATCCTAAGTAGGCTGAGTAGGTTAAAAAGAAAACTCACATCGGTTTAAACAACGACCACAACACACATCTGAAGCCATTTCTCTAGTAAAATGCCAACATTTCAGGTGTTCCAGCTTTGCACTGGTCAGTTTTTTCTGTGTCTTAGATGATAGGAAACAATATTTTGGGACTTGGGATAAAACAAGCTGATGGAAACTGTGCTGGGGGTATTATTCACTGCTTTTTTCATATTAAAATGTTTCACCAAATAATCAAGAGCACAAAAGAGTAATTGAAAATGAAAGTGTCAGCTGTGGCCATAAATGTCATTAAGATGTTAGAGTAGGTGGTGTGTGTGTAGCAGGCAAGGTGGCGAGGCTGCTAAACAACACTGTGGGAAATCCTGTCTAATGATTTCTCCACATCCAATAAGTCTGACAGCTAACGCCAGACACAAGCGGAGTACTGGTTTCTCACCGATGCAAAGATGTCAAACCAAATGCATTCAGAGCTAAAATCAGTAAGAGAAGCTTCACTCCACCGGATTCATTCTGGATTGCATCTTTACAGCACAATCAAAGATAAACAGTTTCATGGACAAAGGGGTCTGGTGTCGTGACTTTATGCTGCACAGCTCCGACAGCTCCACCAACAGAGGGATTGATTTTTTTTTTTTTTTTTTTGGGGGGGGGGGTGGAAATCATATAACTGAATTCTCTTTATTGTACCCACACTAGTTCTAGGTGCCATTCTATAAGTCTTATTATTACCAAAAGTTTCATTTAAAGCAGTCTGTGGCCTTCACAGGGGTGCTGTTTCAAAACCCCCACCCTGGTCCTACAACTAAAACCACATGTGATAGATACTCAGGGCAGCCTCAGTATTGACCGATACCCTCAACCCGCCCGCTTCCCTCCCATCCCCGACTTAACCCCATTCACTCTGGAGACAATGAAAAGGACTGTGATAAAGTGGGACAATTAACAACCAGTGTGAACTTTCCTGCCAGCCTAGAATTTTAAATGAAATCAGAATGAAGGTTAAACATGATAAGCATGACACACTCATGCTTTCACTCCACAGGACACCAAACCAATTAATAAGACGGCACATAATTTAAGTTATCTTAAGTTTAAGATATTGTGCAGATATACAAGTTAATATCAGGTTCAATTAAGAATATCTGGACAGATACTGAGGTGACAAACTTAATGACCACAGCAGACATTAAAATTCTCTGGGATAATATTTTAAAACTATAAACAGGAGATAACAAGGCCACTTTAACCTCTCCTAGTATTTTAGGACTTCTACACTAACAAGAGTGGAGATGAAAAATACCGTCATCTAAGACAAGGTCACTGTTGAATACCAGGCACACAAGTTTAAAAAACTGCTGTGGAACAATAAGATGCAGTGTTTTCCTTCCACTATAAGATCCTCTAATTATAAGCCACAGAAACATCTACATCTTTTGAAAACTACCATTTTTCCAACTAACAACTTCCTGTAAAAAAAAAAAATCTCTTTAATATGATGCTTTCCTTTTCGGTGGTTACTCACAAAGCTGCGGTGTCCCCTGGCCGCCCGGGAGCTCGTCATGTTTCAACAGGAACACTCTGCCCGCTGGTTATTCCCATAGAGATTCCCACAACACCAGATTTTCCCAACTCAGAGCCCAGATAACCACAGAGATGCAGCAGGAGGGGGACACACTGATCTGAGTCAAGCTGGCTGCAGCACCAAACCAGGAAACCAGACCTTCTCCTTTCAGATTAAAAGCATCATCTAGACACTTGGGGTCTCCATCTGATTTTGGAGAACTATCTTGCTTGAAAACACCAGCAAAGTACACAAGGATGTGAAATGAAAGGACTAACTATCATAGGGTAACCAACAGAGCCTCGTCAGTGTCTCCAGAGCAGCTTCAGCTCCTCTGATGGAGGGAGGAAACATCAACCTTCCAAACCGGATGGGCAGAAAACGGATTTTCTACTAATATATGACATTTTACATAACAAAAAGTGAACTGAGCGGATTAATTGAAAAAGACACCCTAACAATTAACTGATCACAGTAGTTGACGATTTTCTTTTAATCAATTAACTACTCTACTATTTGCAACTTTAATGACTAATTTCTGGTGTTAATACTGCAATAATGACTTGATTAACTGATCAACAGAAAATTAATCAGCTATGTTGCTGATGAAATACACATTTTAGTAACTTTTCAGATTAAAATTGCCAAAACTTTTGCAGGTTCCAGCCTCTAAAATCTACACATTTGATGCATTTCTTTATCTAATAAGAGAATAAACCAAACAATGGTTGATCACACAGGACTTCAGAATATGGTGACTGTTAGAAACTGTCATATTTATCATTTTACAGAACAGCTAATTGATCAACTGTTAAAAAAATATAAAATTAGCAAACTGACAGTAATTGAGAATAACCAATAACCACAGCACTAAAAACTGGTAAACACTCATCACATTAGGGAGGGGAAGATATCAAATGTCTTAATCTGTTGGACAAACAGTTCAAAACCTAAATATACAGTTTTTATTTTTGCTTGAAAAATTACCAGTCCATTATCATAATAGTGGGCATGTTAATTTTCTTTCCCTCAACTAATTGTCTAATCATTGCAGTGATCACTTCTGCTTTCATTCCTGCCTCGACTGGTTTTAAGACATGTTTCACTGGCTACTGAATCTTTACATTTGCTGCTACTTAAATGACCTAACCTCCCCTCAGGGCCCAATAAAAATTCATCACATCTTATCTGCCTCAATGTTCTGTTTGTGCAGTTTGAGTCTTATCTCCAGCTGACTTTGTGTAGCTACGATGACGGGTCATGAGATTCGAATGATATCACATGGAGACATTATGTGGCTGCAGCTCCCAAAACGGGATCTGGGGAGAAGAGGGAAAGTATGGCAAAGATACAGCACAATGGATGTAAAACACTGAATTCCACAGGAGTGTTTGGAAAAGTATGGTCTACAGAAGCAGGAACATGTGCAAAACAGCTGGAGATGCAGAAAATAAACCTTTTGGTAGAGTACATTTTCACCTTATAGGTCAAGACAATACTTAAAGGAGCTCGCTTTCTTCCATTTCCTATCATAAAAGCTTTTTATATCGTAAAATAGTGGCAATGCCCATGACAATTTCCAAAGGATAAAAGCAGCAGATCCTCACAGTTGCAGCGAGATGCTTTTTTGCATCTTTCCTTGAAAAACAACTTAAATCAATCAATTTTTGAAATAGTTGGATGATCTACTGTAGGATATCAACTAATGTTTATTTTCATTATTGAATACTATATTTTTTGGTCAAATAACCCATTTGGTCTATGAACTCTCATAAAGAAACTATGAAAGAAATGATGAGCAAAATTTCAACACACAGCACACAGGCTGACATATTTGGATTATTGGTTCATTCAGCCAAAAGTCCAAGACAAAGATAATGGCTTAAAAAAAAAATTCTTCAATTCTTCCATTTAAAAAGCTGGACACAATAAACTTTTGGCATTTTTGTACTTGAAAAATGGTTAACCAATTAACCAGTAAAATGGACTGTGTAATCAGCCAATTAATTCAACAACCACTGTTCAAGTGCCAATATAAAGTAGCTCACCTTTTTATTTAAGTGAATATTTTGTTGCTTCACTATGTCCATAAAGCCGAATTTAATTGTGAAAGCCTTGACCGGAACAACGGTACGCTCTATAACGGGGTATTTCTATTGGTCACAAGGAGGCGGGACTAGTGGGTCCATATTTGGAAGCTGAGCAGTTGAAACCTTTGAGTGACAGCTGCGAGAGCCAATAGACAGCCTCAATAGGCCCTACTGTTGCCTGCCAGAACAAGCAGGCAAAGTACTGTAGTTTTGTTCGTGGTTGGGCCTAAATCTCCCGACTACATCCTAATTACTTTCTGCCACATCAAAAAATAAAATATTATTCGCAGACAAAAGCAAGATTCAAATGATAACAAGTCCCAGCATTTACAAAAATTATCGGGTGTTTACGATATACCAACAAAGTGCAACCCGCAGTGTGAAACAATTAGCTCTCATCCGGTGCAGTTCTTTTAAAAATACATCAACCACAGTTACAGTAAATATTAATATCCTTCTAGGAATAATTTAATGTATTTTCAGTCAGCAGACCAAAGTACAGGTGGCAAAATAACCCAATAAACACACCCTTATACTTACACTTTCCGTAACCTTCTCGTTGACTGTAGGCAAAGGAGTTTTTGTTGACATCTTTGAATCGTCCTTCCTATAACCTGTCGCAGTCTGATGTCCAAAATCCACCGACACCTTCTTAGTCGAAAAATAAAATTATTGCTTTGCCTTGCAGCTCTCTCCGGAGAAACTGTCTCAGCATGGATCGTGACAATAACGTTACTCAAACCAAACCGGACGTGTTACAGCCGAGCACCTGAACTGTTATGGACCGAAACAAATAGCATAATAATCTGACATTCGGTATTTACATGGCGAGGACACTGTTCGTGGCCTGAAGTCAGAGTCCGTCTGTCCGTTTGGGTTTCAGTCAGGGAAGCTAACTAAACTAACGTTAAGGCGCTGTCGGTCGCCACTTCCAAAAATCGCCCCAGGCTTTTTTACTTACAAAAAACTCTGTCTAGAAATAACCCATGGCGTCGAGTGTCAACTGTGGATATTTCTTGGAAAGATTCAAAAGGTTGGGGTGGGTGATATACTCGCTATCGGTTCGGTTTCTTCCATCTCCGGCGACCCAAAGTGAAGCTGGTTTGTCGGATTTAGGTGGGACCAAAATGGCTACTCAGCGGCTGTGCTGGTTTAGTTGCATTCACGGACTCCTCCCAGGCTCCGACATCAGAATACAAAAGCCAACAGCTAATTCTCCTCATTAGACAATTAAAACGTGCCCCTATCCGTCCTATAAAAGAGCCCCAAAATGACCCATTTTGTTGTAATTTGTCTCGATTTGATCATTTAGCATTTTTATTGTTGTTTTCCATCTTTTGTGGTTGTTTTGCGTCCATTTATGTTCATTTTACATCTATTTTTGTTGTTTGTGTCTGTACAGTTTTTTACCTGAACTATATGACTTAAAACCAAAATATTACTATTTACAGAGGCCTGGTCTTCCGAGCCCCCAGGGCTGTGCCCAGTAGGCCCTTTCAGTAATCCATCCATGGTTTAAAATGTGTTCAGATTTAAAATGCAGTTGTCAAACAAATTCAGACATCAAAATAGTTGCTAATTTTCTGTTTATCATCTCTAATGACAAGCAGCTGAATTCATTCAATTATACACTGAGACAGAAAAGCCCTTTTGTTTTTTTGAATATAATTTATAGATAAAGTTTGAGTACCCAAAAATTTTAGACAGTTGTTTGGTGGTGTGCAGAATTTTCTTAGGTAGGTGGGGTCAAGACCTCACCACAGTACTTTCCAATTCCTCTATATGACCACCTTAGCCTTTCTATGTGGGTGTCTATGCGGTCTGCATGGATTTTCTCTATTTGCAGAAAACTAATTTCTCAGCAATAACTTATTTTAGAACTCTAAAATATTGTGAAGTTTATATGTCATACTTACAACATAGTAAAGGAAAACAGTATATAATTTCGTGTACTACTACAACCGGAGTTCTGCACAACTTTGGCATACTGGTAGGTTTGACATGTTGCAATGTCAATTGAGATGTGTCCAACAGCACCTGAACGCAGCATCAGCGTGTCCAGCTGAAAGTGGGGAGGAAGTGAGGAAATCAGTTGACCCCAGTCCCACCGGAGACAGAGTCCAACATTTAAATCATTTAGGAGGAAACGTCTGTGTGAATTTATTTGGCTTCAAAGGGAACATTTGTGGAAAACAAATCTCTCGCAGAAAGGTAACGTTACAATTAATCTGATTCAATTTCTGTCAAAGATATTAACAAAATACATGTAAAATTTGTTGCAGCCAAAATCTTCCAAGAGGTAGCTGCAACATGATTCATATGCTTATCAATTAAGCTCATCTTGGACAAGAGATGAAACTTTATTCTCTAAAGAGAAGAATCCAGCCTAAATTAGGGCTTTAAAAAAAAAAAATCATTTTGAATGGGGCTTAAAGTTAGCCTTTACAATAAACATGGCAATTATTTTTGATGTCATTAAATTCATATCAAGAAAGTAAAAAAAAAAAAGCCCATCCTTGTTTCCAACAGCCCAAATTAACATTAACTTGCTTGATTTGTCCAGTTTACTATATGCATGACAAAAAACTAGCAGAAGCAAAGAATGTGTTCAAATTACTATCAAAGTTGTTGGCAACTAATTTTCCTCACTGCGCTCCATTTTGGAAGCCTCTACAACAGAACTGCACCTTTCCCCATACATGACCAAAGGTCGGAGCTGCAGGTTCTCCGTCCATAAAACCTGCTCGTCTGTACAGGGAACAGAGGATTATTCACTCCTAATCCAACTAGTCAGACTGGAAAGAAGTAAACATTCAAGTGTAGTGGATAGCAAAACATTCATTCTTTATTGACTGGAAAAATACAGGGACCAAAAGAGAGAAAAAAGTGTGCAGTCAAAATCATCCCCAAAACACCCATCATTAAAATTCCAAAGCGACTTCATATCATCAACTGAATACATCTCAAAATTACTGAGATAATGTGCAGCAAGCGCTAAGTTAAGTCATGCCACAAAGCAGAGGGGGTGAGGGCGGGGGTAGGTAGTAAAGGTAGGAAAGGCCAGTTGTTTAGGTCGTACAGGACATTGCAAGTCAAAGCCACAACACAAAAAAGCATAATCATCTTCCGAGTCTCTCAGATCGCATCAATATCAATGTCCTCCTCTTCTTTCTCAGGCGTTTGTGCTGTCACAGTCTCCACTTGGAGCTCGCGGGCAGAGGGCGAATACACCACCTGCAGACAGAAAACACCAGCTTTACACTCTGTACATGGTTCAGAGGTTTGAGACTGCAGTTGCATTTAACCTGGACAAGGCTGCAATAGTGTGGACACGTCTAACTCCAGCAAACCAACGCTTACTTTAAAACATGAAGCCTACTTCTGATGAACGTCTACACACATGCAGCTATAAGAACAGCTGTAAAAGTGGCATTTCAGCAACTGTCAAATTACAGTGTGCAGTTCTGTTAAACAATATACTGTAGGAAAACCATGTGACCATCACCTCTAGGATTCAGGTTGTCTGTTTTTATTTATCTGCAGTTGCATGATTTCAGTCAGTTACAAACTAGTTCACTGTGGATGTGGCTGCAGCAGTGATGAAAACGAGCATCTTTTTACATGTAACTCAGTTCAGCTCTACAAAAGGTCGGCCAGCAAAGGCACATTCACCTGTAACATGACATTTAATGAGCTGTGGGAGGGTGTGGCACCGTTTCAGAAAATGGTTCTTCATGTTCATGGTCCACATTTGTTTTTAAAAGAAACGCACTGGTTTAACTGAAATACGAGTCATGTGCATACAAAACCAAAATCATTTGTGCAACAGTCACGTCATAAAACATGGGCGACAAGAAAGAAAGTGACCTCTGCAAATATCAGTGATAAGTCTGCGTATTCTGACGTAATGGGGTTTGTAGTTTAGATTCAGTGGCAGATGAAACAAACCACTTAGATACACTGTCCTTTAAGTGATCTACATCTGTTACCTCCACATTCTCATCATCTTGCTCCTCCTCTTCCTCGCTGCCCTCGCTCTCCTCCGGAGCCTCCTTCAGCCATTTGACAAAAGGAGCAGCCTTGGCATGGATCTCTTTGGCAAGTTCCTTAGAGACATACTTCTTAGAAACCTGGAGCAGAAACACAGAGTCGGTCGGACGTTCGTTCGGGCTGCGACAGCTTTAATCAACTACACTATACTGTTCAGTGTCGTATAGCAAACTGATGACAAAAAATAAAAAAAGAACCCAAACACCTGCCTGTAGAACCTCTAACCCACATTAGTGTTGGTGATTTAGTTCCTTCATCTCCTGCACTGTCCATGACTTCTCTCAGGAGCTTCACTGCTTAATCACAGTCAGTGCGCAGAGTAAAATTAAATCATTTCAATGTCCAGTGTTTTATACTGCAACTTAAACAATGATATGACAAAGCAGTTATTTAACTTTTGTATCATTAAATTTATAGAAAATGTTAATGTATTAAGGAACAGGTCACATGATGTATTATATGCTGCATATTCTAAGTTTTTTTTAATCTGAAAGAAGCTGGAGTCTATGTTTGTTCTCCACATATGATGGTTGATACAAACAGGAATTTTAATACGACATCTTGAAAGCTTGTTCAGCTTCTAAATTTTCTTCCATGTCACAAAGTAATAAGGGTAAAAGCAAATGTTAGTTTTATTCTTATTTAAACACTGGTATTAAAGCTACTCTACCTAACTTCATTTTAGCCCTGAAGATTTACTGCAACTCAAAACAAACTGACCATCAGCTGCTCCCAACCTCTGCACATCCCATCACATCCCGTTTCCTAGTGACAACGTGAACTACAAATGCCCGGCTGGGACAAACTGTACAAAACACAGCCTCCAGTCTGAAGCTAGCGTTAGCTGACCAACAGTAAATGTGTCAGTCCAGTAGAAGGCTCTGGTTACTGCTGATGTGATGCAAAGCTCAAATTAAATTAAAATCATTAACTAAACACAAAGGTAAAATCCTGACCATGCTACGTGGCTAACTTTGGCTGCTTTTACCCCTCTCCATGTAACAGAGACACCACATCCTGTCCCAATGTCATTATCAGTGTGGAAAACTTTAGTTAATGCAATTTTAGGTGAAACACTCCTGGAAGCCAAATATCAGCACTTAAATACCTTAGGTACATACTTAGGTTTGATTTTCTGATTGTAACAATATTCATATAGAGCATTTAATTGTTTGTTTTTGTCTGGGCCAAAAAGCACAACAGGCAGCATTTTAACTGCTGTGTACATTTAATATTGGATAAAAGGTCTATACTGACACACACACACACACACCTTGTCTGCCCAGGCAATTATGACGTCCTCGTCCAGCAGGTCAGCATCGTACAGGTCTTTGAGGATGATGGGAACTCGTGACAGCAGTTGGGCCTGATGCAGCTTCACGACACACTCAAAGCCTCCCAGCAGGTACTTCTGGGCTTTCTTGTTGCTGTGGCAGAACTGGGGTCAAATTTAAAGCAGAAACAAACAAACAGTCAGGAGTAGATTCCCCAGCACTGGTGTAAGGACTGAGACCAGTGTATCAAGACAAGACCCAAGACGTCAAGGAGTTGAGACCAAGATATGTGTATATGTGGCTAAAGCCTGGAGGGCAGCGCATTTTGATGAAAACTGGGTTGTAGTTTGTTTTCTACTTTACTACAGAAAGAGGCTTCGTTTGTGTTTAAACAACATTTTGCTATGACCTATTGATCCAGGAACTTGTGTGAATATCATTGCAACTTTATTGTAGCGCAGCTTCCAGGGCTAATTCAATTCAGTACATCAGTATCTTTGTTAGCCAAGTTAGCAAATTCTATGGCTGTAAAATAGGCAACCTGTTTAATCTTCTCTGTCTGCTGTCATTAAGATATTAATCCACAGTGGGTGTAACTACCATCCTGACGGTACAGAGAAATATCCAATGTTTGATTAGCTTCACGATCAATTACACAAATGACTGTCCAAACAATGGTTGTTGATCTTTCAGGTCATTCCTGTTGCAAACTTAAGTTGTCCCTGCCCAAGTGAAGGGTAAACGTACTCGCAGGAAGTGGCGTTTGTATTTCTTGATCTGGTCACGGATGTTCTCATCAAAGAGCAGCTCGCTGAGGATAAGGGGACCCATGGCCTTGACATCCAGACGCTCTGCCTCAGCCAGGATCTCCTTATCAGCTGCGTCAATGGTTCCCCTGTCCTTCTTTTGCTGCAGATGGAAGAAAAAATATACAAGAACTAAAACTCAGACATTTCCCTTTTTCCTTACTTTAGTATTTTCAGGTAGGTGTGTGTGATATATTGTCTACAATAATATCTTAATTGTTGGTTTAATGACATGCCAGATGGCATCATTCACTCTACACAAACAATCAGAATCCACACGTTCTCTGTGTTATGTGGCCTTGTTGGACAGACTTCTGCACATGCACCCTGAGCGTGTACACAGAATATAAATGATCACTGCACCAGTAGTTAAGCTAGTGTAGCTGCCTAAAATGCATTTTTAAACATGAGTGAACAGACAGTGCCAAGAAACAAAATGCAGACACAAAAAGCCTCGCAATCTACGTCATTAATTTAATAGCTAGACGTGGATCATCCTCATTCACGTGGCCATATTCTGGCTTTGAAAGACAGATGTTGCACACAGTTGCAACAGTAATCTGCAAACTAGGTTGGAAATTGGCTGCTGTTAAAGACAGCTCGTTTCACCATCTGTGAACAAACCATCACACAGAATATGAAAAGCTTCTCGAGACGGCTGTCCATGACAAAACTAAACCAGCCAAGGTACCATCACAAAAACACACTCAGCAAACTTTAGCAGAATCATTCTATCAAAGTTTGCAGGGTTTCCCATACATTTATTTAATTGTGGTGAGCAAATTATCATTGTCAACTAAATCCCTAAAATGATCCAGATAATTTTTGTCAGTATCGCACGCCCTTATTTTCAGGTGGTATGAAAAGGATTACGCAGTCACTACCTTTACAAAGTTGTAGAACAGGTTGACCCTCTCCTCCAGGGGTTTCTCCAGGTCCTCGCTGAGCGTCAGGTTCTTGGCATGGTCACTGATCTCCTCCATTCGCCGCCTCTGTGCCTCCTCTGTAGTCTCCTCTGCCCAGTCTTCGTCATCATCATCCCCATCCTGACAACCACACACAGGTCAGACAACGCGAGAGGTCGGGGTGCACAAAAACTATTTTAATGCATCTACTGAGGGTTCTTACATATGTGAGAAAAGGCTGTAATGTCCAGCAAAAACAATACATTCTGAGTATAAGAAAAATGTATGTTTAGCCCCAAACTGCAGGACTTACTGGCCCAAACCTTGTTAATCTGAGCTGACAGAACCTATTCTATTAGAGATTTATGGACAAATAAACTCAAACTGCTGCAAATATTTGTGGATGTTTGTGACATTACCTAAATGAATGAAGCTGCACCTTAACGCAAGGTCAATAATCGTCACAAAATCACTGTAATATGCACATGACATCCCCAAGTAAGGAGACGGCAAGAACAAACTACAGTATATGTGAATGTTAATGGGACAAATGACGCTTCCCTTCTGTAAAGCAAGAAATCTGGCAACACTAGCAGCGTTCCAAGAGACTTCAATGCAAAGATAAAAAACCAATGTGTTTCGACACAAGGACCCTGATAAAAAGGCTTTATGCTGAAACACGTCGGTCTTTTATCTTTGCATTGAAGTCTCTTGGAACACTGCAAGTGTTGCCAGATTTCTTGCTTTCCTGTTTGTTTTTCCTGTGTTTGTGCACCTTGATAGTGGGTGAAGTTACGTCACTAACATCTATATCTAGTTCACATCTCAGTGAAAATTAATAGCAAGTCATGTCGGGCCCTGCTGAAGAAACTGCTAGCTAGCATGTGAAAAACTATCAAACTTCACTAGATTTACACTGATAGTGAAGTCTCTCTGTAGACTAAAGTCATGGATCAGCACTCGGCTGACGATGTCACTGAACTTAGACCAGTGTCTGTGAATCCACATGGCGGCGTTTTTTTATTTTTTACTTTGAAGTTTATGTGCGTGTTAGTGGATTGTCATTAGTATTAGACTGGAAAAATTCTCAGTAGTAGTCCCTGGCGGGGACCAGTGAGGCAACCCACCACAGCCTGAGGGGCGTCAATGTTGTCATGGTTCCCGGCCTCTCCGCTGCCAGAGCCATTCTCCTTGTCCTTCTTGCCTTTCCTCCTCTCCCTCTCTTTCTTTGCAGATGCAGATCCACTATCATTACTCTTCTCCTTCTCTCTCCGTGCAGATGCAGATCCATTGTCATAGCTTTCTGTAATGGACAAGCAAACTGCTGTTTTCATATCTGTCACGAGCACCAAGCTTTGTTACGTTCACTGCCAGTGTGACTGGCCAGAGATGGATGGACGGTACCAACAGCCTGGCTTCACTCCAGCAAAGTGAAATGTTTCAATACATTGTCCTGGGGTGTGTGTCAGTGAAGCAAACAACAAGACTGATGACATCAGTTCATTAATATTTTGTGCCATTTGGGAAACATTTATGATTTTGCTGTCACATAGGGCAGAGTAGAATCTACTCTTAATGAAGCACTTCTGAACAGAAGCATTACAGATTTCATTTCACACAGCATCTTGGACTTTTATCACCACTTGAGGCTAAAACGTTTCAACTCAGTGATATGTAGTACAGCTGTAACTCATCTTTAAAGGGCTGCAATAACTTGTAAAGACCACCAGAGGGCACTGTAGGTCCTCTGAAGTTCCAAGGCTTTATAAGGCTTTGTCTGCCCATCACTAGCATGAACTGAACCACCTACAGTCATGTCAAAAAATTAGGACACCCTTTGAAAGCATGTGTATTTTGTAACATGTTTTAATATATGGTATTTAATCTCAATTTTAACAATACAGAGAGATTAAAGTAATACAACTAAACAAGTAAAACTGAAGAAAAGTCTTTAAGATCTTCTGTAAATGTAATTCTACAAAAATGCCTATTCTAACTGAGGAAAAAGACAGCACACCCTCACATGTATGCCCTCTTAAAATAGCTCAAATCACACCAGGTGCACATAATTAGTAGATCGTTACTCAGCATTTTGAATGAGGCTTGCCCCATCTAAACCTCAGACATTTAGTTGAAGTGAGAGTGAGCACCAGAGTGAGAGCGAAAGAGCATCAGAGGCCTTCAGAAAAAACACTGTAGCAGCCTATGAGTCTGGTAAGGGATTTAAAAAGATCTCAAAAGATTTTGAAATCAGCCATTCCACTGTCCGGAAGATAGTCTACAAGTGGAGGGCTTTCAAAACAACTGCCAACATGCCCAGGTCTGGTCGCCCCAGCAAGAGACCGCAAGATGCTAAACGAGGAATCCAAAAACCATAAAATGTTATCTCGAGACCTACAGCAGGCTCTGGCTACTGTTGATGTAGAAGTGCATGCCTCTACAATCAGAAAGAGACTGCACAAGTTTAACTTACATGGGAGGTGTGCAAGGAGGAAACCTTTGCTCTCTAAGAGAAACATCAAGGCCAGACTGACATTTGCCAGAGAGAATGTTGACAAAGACCAGGACTTCTGGAATAATGTTCTTTGGACAGATGAGTCCAAAATTGAATTATTTGGACACCAGAGCAGAGGACATGTTTGGCGTAAACCAAACACAGCATTCCAGGAAAAGAACCTCATACCAACTGTGAAGCATGGAGGTGGAAGTGTCATGGTTTGGGGCTGCTTTGCTGCAGCAGGACCTGGTCAGCTCACCATCATAGAATCCACCATGAATTCTACTGTGTATCAGAAGGTGCTTGAAGAACATGTGAGACCATCGGTTAGAAAATTAAAGCTGAAGCGGAACTGGACCATGCAACATGACAATGACCCAAAACATACTAGTAAATCAACCAAAGACTGGCTGAAAAAGAAGAAATGGAGAGTCCTGGAATGGCAGAGTCAAAGTCCAGACCTGAATCCCATTGAGATGCTGTGGGGTGACTTGAAAAGGGCTGTACATGCAAGAAACCCCTCAAACATCTCACAGCTGAAACAATTCTGCATTGAGGAGTGGGATAAAATTCCCTCAGACCGATGTCAGAGACTATTAGATGGCTACAAGAACCGTCTCACTGCAGTTATTATAGCCAAAGGAGGTAACACTAGCTATTAGGGGCTAGGGTGTGCTATCTTTTTCCTCAGTTAGAATAGGCATTTTTGTAGAATTACATTTACAGAAGATCTTGAAAAGACTTTTCTTCAGTTTTACTTGTTTAGTTGTATTACTTTAATCTCTCTGTATTGTTAAAATTGAGATTAAATAATCATATATTAAAACATGTTACAAAATACACATGGTTTCAAAGGGTGTCCTAATTTTTTTCACATGACTGACTCTGCTGGTGTACAACAAAAAGGAACATCTCACCTGGTGGGTTTTTGAGGATGAACGTGCAGAGCTTGTGTCTGGTGTCTAGCATGCCGCGGTATCCGCAGGCCTTACAGGCTGTGCCAATAGTTTGTTTCCTGGGATTGACATGCTGTAATAAAGTCAAATAAAAGCCTCATTAGACCTGAAGAACAGCTACACAAGTCAATTAAACCACTATAGTAAAATCTTTAAACTGCAAACTATTATCTGGGCAAGCACTATCTTCTTTTTACTTTTTAAAATAAATACAACAGTGAAAAGTGTGAATGCAAAACACAATGACAGGGCACTAGTGTGCATTTTATTGGGAACATGCATTAAGCCAACACTTAATCTCCCAGGCTTGCACTACAGATGCTGCGAGACATTTACCAGATCAGTTTCAGGGTTGTCACACTCGGGACACAGCACAAATTTTCTGATGAACCCATCAAGCATGTCCTGCAACTTGTTCGCCTCGTGGGATCCATTGACGATGTAACGATCGTTTTTGGTATCAAACTGGGTCTGAGCGCCAAGTTCACAACCAAAAAACTTGGTCGGGTCTGCAGAGGAGAGCAAAAATTATAAACACAGACTGTCCACTAGTAGACGCCTCTAAAATATCAGAGAACAAAGACAACTGTTAAAGTGACATGAGTGGGTGTTTGACTCCAAAAACCGTCTTCCTGTTCCGCTCACACTACTGACTCAGCACCTCTTACATATTTATTTAATAATCTGGAGTTGGTTGAGTCATTTTACACTTCTTACAATGCTGCACTGGTTTTTGATTGCTCTCTCATTAGAGACCAACTGATCCACAGTTTGGTCAAATTCCAGGGATGTGGTGGAATGAGGAAAGATGATACTACACATGACTTACATGTTGGAGGCCTGTTCAATGCCTTGGCAACATCAACCATGTTGACAATGACCGTCTTGATTCCATTTCCTTTGCCTTCAACCTGGATGGAAAATACAAAACACAAGACCATCAATGCTCAAGTCCAAACTATTAGGGTGAGCAACAGAGAGAAGGTGTCCAGACATCATTTTCCTAACTGTTATCCCAGGCATAAGTAAAATCTGTGTACCAACTTTAACTCGTGCAAATTTAAAAGCCCGACAGAGACGCATTACCTTGGCAATCAGACGGGGCATCTTGTAGCGATAGAACTGGTCTGACACGCTGCGGTTGACGTTGACAGACATTTTGGCTGGTTGTTAACACTATCAGCAAAATAAAAGGATCTTAGTTGGGGATATTTCGGGATCTTCTGTCTGGAAAAGAGGGGATGACATAAACGACTGCAAGCGTGCTCGGTCTCTGACATGAAAAACGTTGTGCCGCTGTGGCCGCAAGCTCCTTGCTTGAAGGCTAGATTTCCACCACACAGGTTCCGACAGCTGCGCAACAGCTCTGAAGGAGGACAGACACAAAAAGGGAGTAATGTTTAATAAGGAAATGTATTTAACAGTAAAGTCATATGTGTTCCAACTAAAATTTTCTAAAGAGATCATTCATGCCAGGCTTTTATTAAATTGTGTAGAGCTGCATTTATTAGGCAGTTAATAAATTAAACAAAGTATTCAACAATAACTTGGATAGTTGATTTATTCATTTTGAACAACTGGCAAATATTCTGCTCTAAATCAGAGAAGACTGAATGTTTTATTTCAGACTGTTGGTTGAATGAAACAAAACATCTTATGGTTCAAATCATACATATTTTCTGTCTGTCTTGGTTTTATATGACAAAAATCTAAATATTTTTATTTTAGACTCCTGATCTGGCAATATAAGCAGTTTAAAGTTGCCATCTTGGGGCCAGGACCTTGTGATAGAGATTTTTCAGTGCTAGGAATAAGAGTTCACAGACAAATCCATAAATATGTCAGTTGAAGGCCTAGTTGTAGTATTTATTTCAGATTTTACACAGTTTGTACTGTAACAGCTGGTTCTTGAGTTACTGCCACTATCGCAACAAAAATATAAATCCAGAAAGAGGTCACAAATGATGCAGAAACAGCTGAGGGATAATGCAGAGTCCCTTACACAAATATTTCTTACCTTAAAACAAGCATATATTCATGCACTGCCAGATGGTTTTGAAATAGGAAGGCAGAAAAGTCTGCTGACAAAATCTAATCCAGCAAATATCTACGTGATCCCACAATAGGCAAGAAAAACAGATTAGTCCAAAGAAGAAAAATGAAACCCAGCCATAGACTTGGATGGTTTACCCAGCTCTTAAGGCCATATACATACAAAAACGGTTCTTTTACATGGAGGCCTCTGGATTCAGTCGCATAAGGCCTGCTCTTGTTAACGGGTCACAAACAGGAGGCCTAGCAGCTGCCAAACAACCCTCCCTCTGCTGACGGCTCCAACAGCAACTACCCAGTCTCTATTGGTTATTTTCTCAGCCATGTCAGTGTGATTCGACATCAAATGACTCGCAACCGGTTTGTCCTGGCACCGAGGTGTTCGGAGCCGGGTGACAGTGAAAGCCAGAGGTCGACACTATTTCAGGAGACGGCTAGGTAACTTAACTAGCTGCTTGGTGCAGAGTGCGTCATACAGTTATGCACACGAGTGAAGGGACTGGGAGACGCCATTTTGATACAGTGGCACAGATAACGTAATATTACACAATACCTTTGAGAACAGCAAAACCACACATCACATATCTTGCTAAACAATAAAAATAGGTTATAAACTGTGCCTACAACTCACCGTTTTTGCAAAACAAAGACATAAACACAACGCTGATCGTCCAAGAGCCGCAGTGAACGGTGGTCGATGGCTGGTGCTGGTGTTGTATTGATTGCAGCAGGGTTTCTTAATGGTTTTTTTTGGCTCTCGAAGATGCACAGTCAAACACCCTAAAGCGTCCAAACAGTGCTGCTGCCAGGCTCGGAGACTGGAGGAGGTGAACTGGAACGTTCTCGGGGTTTGGGGGACCTTTGGGAAAAGAAGCGAATTGCTATAATTGAAATGCTAACGTTAGCATCAAGTGTGACAGCCGTTGTCGTTCATTTGGATGGGAGAGATAATGTTAGCTCAATCGTCACGTAGCTAACATATCTGCCACTACAACGCAACGTCAGAGCAATCCTCAAACGTTGTTATTTCAAGTAGCAAGAAGCTAACTGGCTAACGATATATACGTCTCATCGCTAAATTCCCAGGAAATCATAATAAATAATTTGTAAAATATGTTCTTAAGAGCGCAATTAATCGCAAGGTGATATGACCAAATCCTACATCTAAATACAGCTTTATCGTTAGCCTCACCCGTTATGAAAACTGATAATGGCAGAACCCCAGGTAATAGTCAGAGCCCAAATGCTACAGTGAAGCCGATTACTAGCTAAGCACATTTAACGCGGTCGGGGGAAGATAATATGATCACGTTATATATTTAACTCGGGCTCACTAGCTAAATTTTCTCTGTAGAACGACAACCATCGACATGAAATTCGTGTCAGGATAAGTCGATGATTACATGGTGAAATTATTTCACACCTTACCTCTCGAATGTTCTGCGTAATACTGTTACTCACGTCTCTTTTACTAACGATGTCGAGCTAACAAACACACCGACGTTAGTAACTTCCGGTGCAAGCATTAATTTCAAATTAAAACTTCACTTAAGTTTTACTTCTTAATGTGGTTCCTGATATCTATTCCTTCAAGTAAAATGTGGGAGTAGCCGCTCAGTAAAATAAGTTAGTGAATAGTGTAAGTATTAGTTTCAGTAAAATAATGTTAGCCATGTAATCTTTCAAAACAGATTATGGACGGATTATATATTAGGCCTATATGTATATTTGCAACATTTACGTTTTTCATTAAGCGTAAACTCAACTTTATATCTATTGACTATAGAAAAGATAAATTCAGCAATAAGAATATTTTGCTTGCTGTTTTGATTATGACCACTCACACTCTCTTCCGTTAGTTTTTAAAAGAAATAGGCTTATGTGTTCAGAGCTTGGCAGTAACATAGTACTAACAACTTGCAATATGATGACTTTATTCCGTAACAGATAATATTAGGGATTACGACATAAAATTCAGTAATTACATAACAGTTACTAATGCCGGCAACATTCTGTTACTATGACATCTGGGAGCCAGCCTTTTCACTTCAATGAACCGATCTATGTAGACCCAAGTGATATGTAGCTTTTAGGGCCTCTACAGGCCTGTGACCCCTGGGTAGTTGCCCGCTTTGCCCGGTTGGTAATGCATATTATATTTTGAAAGGGTATAAGGAAGTATTATATTTAGCTCGACGCACCCTTAAAATTTCTCTGTTTTCATTGGCTGATAGCGTGACGCTGTACGTGTGTAGGCGCTTCCTCAACTTGACTAGGAGAAAAAGCAAAATAGAAGATGGTGAGTATGAAATGGCGTAAAGGCCACCATTTCCCCTATTTAATTGGTGTTTCGAACTCTTTACGTTCGGAATGTTGTCTTAGACTAGTTGTCTACGTAAAGAGAGCGACATCGTTATTTCAGCACGTCCACACCACCTGAGTTTGAAGGGTTTTTTTTTTTTAGTGAACCTCCATTCCGAAATGGATTACAATCACATGACAGCTGAGCACTGTAGTCCCCAAAAATTCAATGCAACAAGCTGCAAGCACCCTAAAAGTCACTCTTTTCATTTGCACGGTGGTCTTTCAGTTTGTCATGTGTTCACCAACCATTCCTGTGTGTCTGTTTATCTGATATTATGACATTTTTTTTTATACTTTTTTGCCAAACAGTTAGCTAGCTGGGCTAACGGGTTTACTTCATCTTAAGCAGCGCTTTTCCTGTGCAACAGTAATAGTGTTTTTCACCCGGGAATTAAACTGGAATGCAAGTTAAATCATTTATGTATCCACAGTTAGCTAGAAATAATAGTTCTTACATTAGGACTACAACTACCTGCTGTTCATTAATGTATTCGTTCATTCTCCTATATGACATTTTCATAAGTTGAAGTTTTACATTAGGACTACAACTACCTGTTTCTGTGCCTAAGTACAGGCTCATAGAGGCTTAATGAACTCTGCTGTTCATTAATGTATTCGTCCATTCTCCTATATGACATTTTCATAAGTTGAAGTAATGTTTGTAGCAGTTATTTTTTGTGCAATGGCATAAATGCACATCAGTGTTCTAGACCCCAAGATGACACCTTAGCAAACTAGTTGTTGATTACCTTTAAATCCATCAACTAATAATTTCAGTTCTGGTTTGGAGCAGGATAGACCATTTGTAAAACACCATGATTAGGTGCAGTTTAAAATGCATGTTGTTTTTTTGATTCCATATTTGCTTCTCTGGATAATTTTTGCATTTGCTAACACTGACTCAGGCAAGTGACTACATTATTTTTCCTTTATCATTATCACTAACCATCCACCATTAACAATTGATTCAAACATGTTGTCCTCAAACTTTTATTTGTTTTCAAATGGTTAATATAACTACTTAAACCATTCACTTTCTTTAATTTCTAATTTCAGTTTTCTTGTCCCAACTCTTTTTCTTTTTTGTTTGCTTTTTGTATTTGTCCCCCAATCTTTGATCATGCCTCTTGTCATTCTCTCCATGCACGTCCTGCCTTCCTCTCTATCTCACCTGCTCCCCTGTCTCCCCATCCCTCCTCCTTGCCTGTCTCCAATCAAGCAGGCTGGTCACCGGGTAAGTGCCCTCGCTCCATGTTGGAGCCCAGTTTTCTGCTCGCCCTTCTCCCAGGCATACTAACATGGGATTGGGATTGCACAACCTTTGAGGTCTGCTGCTTTTGCATCTAAGTACAGCTGCTTCTCATTTAAAAACAACTGCAGTGCAGTAATCTGGTGCCCAGAAGATTTTGATGCTTAATTTACACTTTTCTGTTGTTATGACCAATAAATTCATAATTACTGAGTCAGAGTAAGAAAACTAAAGCTCCTATATTAGATTTCAAAAACATGTACAGAAGTAGGGGAGTACGGTAGCGCAGTGGTTAGCGCTGTTGCTGCGAGGCACACCCCATGACCCCGTTCAGGGACTGAGCGGTAGAAAATGAATGAATGTACAGAAGTAAGTCTGCTTTGACTCAGGCTTTAAAGTCATGTTCCATAAGACTTTTGACCAATTAAATGATTCCTTTATTGGGAATCCCAACTTTGACTCATCTGTTAACAATCATGTGAGTGGAGGCTTTCACTTTGTTTGATCCCTATGGCATTTAGCTTGAGTGTTTGATGAAGCAACTATAAATATAGTAAGTCATATACAATAGTCAACAATTCACATTTAACAATCTTTCATGGTTTATTTCAATCCCCAGCCATTTGCACCATTGTATCAGCTAAACTGATATTTGGTGTGTGATGGGACCTTGACATGTCAGTGTGTTACTTAAAGTAGTAACAACACACTGCCACCGCATTGACATGTACAGCACCTTTCTGCTGTCTGCTGGTGGTTTTTAAAGGTTATTTATGGGTTTTCTGTTAATATGAACCCTCAGGTTTGTTGGTGTTTGTTTGGTATTGACTTCTCATATAATGTGAAAGCGTAATTCTTTCTCTTGCATTGTGCATCTGTTATTGAGTGTCTGAAATCCAGCTGTGCTGATTGATTCATATTTTTCCACAATGGGCGGTTTGTTGATTATTTGACAATATTTAGAATGCTGTTTGACTTCAGACACTTAATATACTTAGCTTCTTACTGACAAACGTTGCTTATTTACAAGTTTGAGCTTTGTGAATTAAGCTTGTTTATTCATTGTACTGAATTAACATGTGGCACATTGTTGTTTGGGTGCAGTAACATTAAACCTGATAGTACATTGCTGGTTTTAAAGAAGATACAAGACAATTTAACAGTAACTAACTGTGGAGTACATTGGTTCTGGTGGAATCTGTGTGCATCACTCTCTGCTGCAGAAACAATGTGCAGCATCCTGCAGGGCTCTGGCCTCGGCCCGCTTCCTTTTTTTTTCTTTCAGGGTTCAAATGCTACAGAAAACCGTCTGAACTCCCCCAGGGCTCACTGGTTGATGACTGACCTGTCTGTGTGTCTGTGCAATGCTATCAGTTGGTCTTGGTGTTAGGTGACCTGCACATCCCCCATCGGTGCAACACTCTGCCAGCCAAGTTCAAGAAGCTGTTGGTCCCGGGGAAGATACAGCACATCCTCTGTACAGGAAACCTTTGCACCAAGGAGAGCTATGACTACCTGAAGACCCTTGCTGGAGACGTTCACATAGTCCGAGGAGACTTTGATGAGGTGTGTACAGCTCTGAAATACTTTCTGATTCATTACAACCCCATAATATTATGTGAAAACGAGAAACCTGGTTTCCTTAATGAGGGAAAGATATTAATTAAGAGAAATTCCATTCCTTATTTATAAACATTAAATGCAAAGAGATACATAAGGGCAAACACCAAGTATCTATATGAACTGGGCTCAGTTTGCATGCAGAAATTAATATTACAGCCGATTGTTTTCCAGACTAGCCTATCAAAATGGCATTATGGGAGAATGGATCTGCCTTGGCGTTGGTTTGCACTCTCTGAGTGCTGTCTAGTTCAGTGATCTCTGTTATTTTCTCAGTTAATTGATTGGTTTTGTCTATAAAATTGTCATGAATGCCTGGTGTCATTTCCCACATTCCAACATGACAACTTCAGATGTCCTTTGACCAAAACACAACGTTTTTCAGTTTACTGTCATGTCTGACAAAAGCATCAGATTCTCACATTCTCTAGCTGGAACCATCAGTGTTTGGCATTTTTGTTTAAAAATTACATTCAATTATCAAAATAGCTTCCAATTAATATTCTATCAACTAATCAGTCTTCTGGTTGTTGCAGCTCTATTGTGCACATCTGTTTTCAGTTTGTGTTGCAGGTGTATTTTTTACAAAAACAGCTTTGTCTAATGAAAACAACAGTGAATAATCCTCAGTGTGTTTGTTTTTTGTCCTGACCTCTTCCCTCTCAGAACCTGAACTACCCGGAGCAGAAGGTGGTGACAGTGGGCCAGTTTAAGATCGGTCTCATCCATGGCCACCAGGTGATCCCTTGGGGTGACATGGCCAGTCTGGCGCTGCTCCAGAGACAGCTGGACGTCGACATCCTCATATCTGGGCACACACATAAGTTTGAGGCATTTGAGAATGAAAACAAGTTCTACATCAACCCTGGTTCTGCCACAGGAGCCTACAGTGCACTGGAAAAGTAGGAGAGCCATTAATACCATTAACCACCAAAGCTGTGTTCATACATTAGGCCCACAGTCTTTAATCTGTGTTGCTGTATATATTAAAAAAGCATTTTATCTCTCATGACTGCTCATGTCCATTGTAGGACAAGAGTCTTATCTAATGCCAGTAGAGCAAACTTATTTTACAAGATGTTTAAAGTAGGGCTGTGTGGTGTGACAATGGCCAACAATATCAAACGTCCTCTCTCCTTACAGCAACATCATCCCCTCTTTTGTATTAATGGACATCCAGGCGTCTACAGTGGTGACGTACGTATATCAGCTGATCGGCGATGACGTCAAGGTGGAGCGAATAGAGTACAAGAAATCTTAAAAGGTGACATGAGGAGGAGGAAACAAGTTGGGATAATGTGGCTCAGTTTATCACTTCATTCCTTTCCAACAGTCTCCACAATGTCAACGCTGTAACGCACTGCACTGTTCAGTACCTTAACTCTAAAAGACCCATGTATTATATTGTTTATATATCAGCAGCAGTTGCTTGTATTCAGCTGTCATTTGGTAACTGTAGAAAATGCAATAATGTCACATGTATTTGTTATCAAGAGAAATATTTGGTGCCATTTTATTTTTACCCTTCTCGTGTCCTGTTCATGTAGCCATCAGACCTTTAGCTTCATGTAGACAACCTTACAGTTATTTCTGTCCCACAATAAAGATCTAATTTCACTCCATCTGGCCTCTTTTGGTTGCTAGATAACAAAGTCTTAAGGGGTTGAAGCTTGTGATTATGGACCTAACTATAAGTAAATACAGTACATGATTAATGACTAGAACTTTATACAAAAGAATAATAAAGAAAATAATTCTGATGTCAGAGACAGAAACTCTCCTGTCCTGGAAACAGCTGTTAGATGACTGAACATTTTACAGCCTCCTGACACTTGAAAATAAAAAGATCTGGGGGTTTGAACAGGCTGATGGCTGATTTCAGTTTGGATACGTCACATTTATGAGTGAGTAAGATGTTCACATTAGTAATTACCTATAACAGCTGAGAGCTCTGACATTTCTCCATTTGGCCTCATGAATTAGTCAGTGCAGGAGGGAAGCGGCTGCGGTCCCACAAGTAACAACAGTCCAGCAAATCTAAATTCTCTTGAGAAATAAAATCAACTTGGTAACAACTAGTAAAAAGCAGTCAAACTGTATCTGCAGCTGTTTGTTTTTATTGCTCCTGAAGTTGCAGATAAAATGATGTGGTTGTGGTCTCTTCAAAGTGCCAATCATATGAACACAGATTTAGCCAGAAAAAAAATTGTGATTTCCTGGAAATTATACCTTCAGTAGATTTGCTCTCACGGACACTGGAGGGCGCCAGAGCACAAACCCACCTGCTGCAGCTTTTCTGTGACAAACAGCTGATGACAATGCAAACTGAAACGCTACGAGTGCTTGAAGAGGTACTCGGGCCCTACGTAAAATACTCCAAGTAAAGTTCTGTGCTAGTAAAACAACGTAGCAAAAAGTACATAAGGTATTGAAGTAAAAGTCTTTCTTCTCAACGTTTTCTCAAAAAGAGCTGTTTCACTGTAAATCCAGTGTCCCCGTGTTTAGCTGAGGCTTACTCATGTATTGATCCGTGCACTATGTGAGCATGACTTTTGTTTCTGTCTCATTATGTAATGGGGGAAATAGTTCATTGCAAAATGAGCACATGCAAAACACCATCATAGAAACAAATTGAAATAGACAAATCTCACTACAAAGACACACAAAGCAACTACAAAGAGAAGCAAAACAACTAAAAATAAATGAAAAATGACAAAAAATGGTTGCTAATTAAACAATATAGGTGCAATACAAGTAAAAAGAGGCACAAAACTCTTTGGATCTGTTGGTCTTGCTCCTAGGTAGGAGGATGGGATTTTGGGGGGTTATCTCATCCGTTAATGACCTGATGCTTTTATTTTGTTATCTTTTGAGAAAACACCTGCAAACCTGATCCTGTTCATTTGAATTGTAGCTTGATTGTGTAGGTTTGCAAGGACTAGAGGGAATATCCAGCTCTCCTCCAATTACAGCTGGATAAGGGATACTCCCCACTTTCTCTTTCTGAGGAGGAGCCAGAGAGAGAGAATAGAGAATGTCCCTGGTACTTTTCTAATGGCTTTCATATCTTGTGCTCTCCCTGGGGCTGTTTCAGTTTCAATGTTCACAGCATCAGAAACACAACCTAAAATTCTAACTGTGAACAGATGAATCTGTCAAATACACTGTATAAAGAAATCAACATTATTTGCATTATTCTAAAGAAAACAATCAACACGATTGACCACTCTTTGATGCTGGAGGGCTTGTATTCAACAGAATACCAAATTCTCAAAATAACAGTTTCACAAAGGAAGTCACTTGGCATAGGTTTAATTTCTCAACAGCTGATTTAGTTTTTCCCTCTGGAAAACACTACATGCATGTAGCTGCATGTACCTCTGAGTCAGTGTGTGGGCAACAGCTGATTATACACACACTCCCCTAGGGTCTTGCAGGTTATCAGTGAAAGGTGGGGCTGTCCTTGTTCTCTGTGCCCTTTTATGAAACCTTAACCAGCCTGTGCCTTTGTGAAACACCCTCTAGCTTTATTTCTGAGCTAAAGTGACAACAAAGTAGCACAGGAAGCCCATAGACCTAGGCGGGTCCATTTTTTATTTGGTTATCTTAAATGCTGCTTAGGTGCGACCTTTAAAAACCATACCATTGGTTTTGCATATTTAAGCCCATGTATAACAAAACACACCTTATAATGTCAATATGACAAACTGGTTAACAAACATGGAGCCACATTATCATTAATCTGGTGTTGTGATTCTGTTCATCTGATGGGTATAACTCCTGTTGCTGAGGAACACTCCAACTTCAACTTTATTTGCCAGGTATGCAATATTGTTAGTATTGCATCCACATAAAAACACAAAAAACAAATAAATACAAGCAACATGACCATACACCAAGGCATCATAAAAACAATTAGGACAGAAGTATCATCATCACAAGCACACAGTCATGAACAGGTTGAAGAGAAGATAGCTATTGAAAATCACCCCAAATTTTTACATTAACATAGATAAGATCAAAAAATCAAACCAAATAAATAAGGTCAGTCCAAACCGGCTAAGGTTGACCACAGACGCACAACAAGAAAAACCTTTTTTTTCTTTTAACTGTACGCTATGATACCAAAGATTGACTGTTTAGCATTGGGATTGCCTCAGGATCAGTGCCATTGCATTTCTCAAGGTACCAAATTTTAATGTTCTCAGGAAATACAATCTACAATCTGCTGCTTTTAGCTTTAAAATGTTCCACTATGTTCACCAGCTAGTTGCACGTGGGGTACAGTGGGTTTATTTAGAACTGGTCACTGACAACAGCTGCTGGAAATAAAGTCAGTGAGTCGAAGACATTGAACCAAAACAATGAAGTTGAGGGTGGGGTTGGTGGATACAAGTGAATCTGAAATGAACTGAAAGGAACTAAAATGCTCCATAGAGCAGCAGAGAACTGCAAAGTCAGGTGACTAATCATCCACACACCTCACAGCTGCCATGTGACCAGCTGAGGCACCTCTATGAAAACTGAGCAAACACGGAAAAGGCGTTTTCATGCACTTTGCTAAGCTGTTAGCGGTAATTATAAACTGTATTAACAAAGGGAAGATGGCAATAATTTATTTAAACTGTACTGAATGCATGTGAAAATAGTGGACTTACTATTTAGTGTTACTTGGTGTTTAGAAATATTAATATGTTAACATTTCTTTGAGCACTTTCAGAATGATGTGACAGTTTTACTGTAGTGAGACTCGTTTGGGAAGCACTGTTTCCAAGGGAAAGAAAGAACATTCAATTCTAATATATATTATTGCTATTGTTATTAGCAATAACAATACCAGTAGCTGTATTATTAATATTTGTGTTATTACAGTGCCTGCATTCAACATGAAGCAACAGCATTTGCATTAGGGAATTGGCTCTCAAGGAAAGTGAAAGTATGCAGCGCTGATGGGGGAAATTTCCTACTCTGACATCATAAAGGATTCACACATAAAACTCTGAGCAGGAAAGTGCAGCCATCATCTCTGCTAAACTGGTCAACCTTTACAACTGAAGATGAAGAACATATTTAACAAATTAAAACCAACGCACCAAGTTCAAAGGAACAACAGCAGGAGACCTTTACTACAGAGCCATGGCAACATACAAGAGGGTAAGTCTGTTTTTATTAGTGTGTGGTTTATTCAAGTAGTTTATATACCCAGGGAGCCTTTATATGTGTACAGTATAAAGTAATTTACATTAACAAAACTGTCGGTTATTAAGACAGACAAAACATTAGTGCATTAACAACACATTTTAAAAGTGCCAATGCAAAACAGACTGGTGCTTTTTTATTTCTGTCTGTTTCACTTCTTTATGTCTAATGAAGTGTCATGATGGGATTTTAAATGAGACAAATAAGTAGCAGATACTACATGTAAAGACTAAAATCTCATATGTCAGAGCACCATGTGGAAAAACCGGTTCTCTGTTACTACTCAGACCGGATCAAACTGCCTAATTGCTTCAGTGGCTGCATGTACAGGGAGCATGGTGGAGATCCCCCAAAACATCTAAACAATTATGTGGCTCTGAACTTCTTAAATTTGTTGAGCAGAGAAATCCTTCTACTGTTGTGTTTAAAGAGAAAACAGACCTAAACTTATCATTGACCCTGACTGCATTTTAATTTGCTGTTTTCTCAGACATACAAATTGAGTGTAAAACCATGCTTGGCACCCAGGAATTGAATAAGTGACCCAGCGATCATGAATACAATGTATTGTAGAAATAAATATTATACTATATATTTTGGCAGCACAAAACTGCTTTAAGAGCCTGTAGCTTTGCTAGCACCTCTATGAGCCTGTACTTAGGCACAGAAATGCTTTGAGCTAAAAGCTAAAGTTAGCATGTCAACAGTCAAAACACATGAGCAAAGAGTGCAGTAGCAATTATTATTATTATGTTTTCTTTATCTTTCATATCTGTAGGTTTGTGCACTTCACATTTTGAGCATTTCGACTTGTTGCTGCTGCTAAAACATTAGACAGTGAATCACCAAAGTTGTAGTTCTTCTGGGAACATGAATGTGTGTGCCACATTTCATGGCAATTCATCCACGGGGATATTTTACTCAAAACCTCAAATGTCATGGTACCTCATGGCAGAAGAAATGTGAGGGCATCACCAAAATCAGCAGGAGTGATTATCTGGATGGACTGACCCACAGGCCAATGTTGCCATCCACAGAGCTGTGACCCTAGCATGGAATTAGCTTCAGTTACATCTATTATAACTGCTTGTTAATGGAGACAAAAGAATGGAGGTGAAATTAAAATATATATATATTCCTGTTGAGTTTAAAAGTCATAAAGATTCCACATAATTGATTGTATAAGTCCTGACATTTGCAGTGATCAAAGCTAAAAGTTTAAAGTCTAACTTCTCCCATAGCAAATGACTATCCAGATCATGGGCACCCCCCACTCCTGACTCAGAACACCTTCAGCCTCGACCAGTGTCTGCAGGGCAACAGCACACTTCAGGAACTAGCTAACGTTCTGAAGGGGGCCTCTGATGTCATCTCCTACACCTCTGAGGCAAGTTCACCACAGCAGAACCTGAAACAGAGGGTTTGTCGCATCATACAAAGATCTATGTCTGAGCATTTCCCAAAGCCACCACTGGATCTGGACCAGAACCTCCAGCAGCACTTGAGGAGCGTGCAGAACACTGTGTTCAATGAGATTATGACGCTGGGCCCCCTGTTGCATTCTAAAGGGTTGATGGGATGTCTGATTGATTGCTACCAGAATCAGATATTTAACCAACTGGAGAGTCTGCTCCCGAACATCAGCTCTGCCAACACTTCCATTGTGCTGATGAACTGGATCAAAAATACATATCAGAGGTATCTATCTGTCAACCTAACAGTATTTGCACCACCTCTAGTTTCCTATATTTACCTTCAGCTCCACTGAGAGGTAGAAGTAACTGACATGTTGTTCAAAGTTGTTTTGTGCATCCATCCATCCATCCATTTTCTTCCGCTTATCCGGGGCCGGGTCGCGGGGGCAGCAGTCTAAGCAAAGATGCCCAGACCTCCCTCTCTCCAGACACTTCCTCCAGCTCCTCCGGGGGAATGGATCAAAAATACATATCAGAGGTATCTATCTGTCAACCTAACAGTATTTGCACCACCTCTAGTTTCCTATATTTACCTTCAGCTCCACTGAGAGGTAGAAGTAACTGACATGTTGTTCAAAGTCGTTTTGTGCATCCGATGACCTGTAAAATAAAAGTTCAAAATTTTGGCAAATGCTTCACAATTCAATTCTTACCAAGAGTAAAAAAATAAAACAAGAAGATTGATCACTCTCTTGGCTTTACCATAAATAGGCTAACACCCAAAAAACATAGCTTAGCTTAGCACAAAGCCTGGAAATGGAAAAGGCTAGCTTAGCTCTGTCAAACTCTAACAAAACCCACCTACCAGCACCTCGACAACTCACTAGCCAACAGGTCTCATTTAACCTAAGTGAAATGATTAAGTGAAATGATAGCAACTCACTATCTTGTCGAGGATTATGTTAATTATTTGTTTGCTCATTCCATTAATTTAGTGGTTTGAGTCAAGAAAGTCCATGTTCCGGCTGTAACCAGGATTAGTGTGCTTGTAAACATATTCATTTTCACAGCCTGCCTCTCACTTGTGTTCTACATAACACTTTATTTCCTTAGAGCAGAATATTAGCATCAGAGGTGTAGCATGCTACAGTTCTGATGTTGGTATTTGTGGTATTTTCCCAGTCAAGAATTCCTTGGTCACCCTGACCTTCAAAAAATGGCTCCCACAGAATATGTCAACAAGCAGCAGGTCGAAGAGTGGGAGGCAAAAGTAAAGGACAAACTCCGGGAAAATGTGCAGGTAACTCTTCTATTGTTAGGGCTGCATCATTCTGCTTCATGCATCAAGACAATCTGGGGCAAAACTGTGTGATGTTAACAAAGCAGCTTTGTCATTTCTTTGTCTCCTTTTGTCCACAGACAGAGATCAGAGGGTCCCTGGAGAAAATCCTGCGGCACGAGAGAGTCCCACGTCACCATAATAGGGAGGAAGCTTATGTTCAGCTTTATGTGGATACGATTCAGGTACTCAGTAAAAGAAAAGTCAAAGCATGTCTCTCACTGTCTTACTAATTAATTTGTCCTGTAATGACCTTAACTGGCATCTATTCTTCTCTGTTTGTCTCCATTTCAGTGCATCAACTACTTTCCTAAACAAACACAAAATATACCAGAACTGTCTCAGGAAATGAAGGCAGTTTGTTTCCAAGAGCTGCAGCTGTTTGTAAAGAGGTACGAGTCTATTTTCACACAGATGTCCACCTACACTATATTTAAATATAATTTTAATTCTGAGATTTGGTTATTTATCTAATGTTGCCCATGCAATAGCCTGAATACTAAAATCACCAGTTAAAGTATTATGGTGCCATTGTTTTGGCTGCATGCTGTCTTTGGTTTGTAGGTATGTTGATGAGCAGACTGAGACTCTTGGGAAATGGGCAAAAATGGACAAACCAGAAATGGTACACTTCTTCAAAGTGTTGAAAACTTGTAGAGAACTCAGGTGAGTATTTAAAGACGTTTGTCTCTTTGTCAAATATTAATTCAGTTCAACTCAAACTTGGTTCTGAAGGCTGGTTTTATTAGCAAATAATAGTAATAATAATAATAATAATAAGACATCTAAAATAAAATAAATAATGAAAGATGACAACAACAAATGATGCTAATGAGTATTTTTATGTGGTCTTTATGGTATTTATTCACAGACAGTACATCCAGACTGAAGACAGAACTTCTCTTCTTAGTGAAATTGAGGAAATGCTTGAAAACACAGAGTCTTCTACTTTGAAACATCTGATGGACATAGTCACTGACATGGCAGAGGTAGCTGTTCAGCTTGATCACAGATACACTGTTGTCTTACATTTCAAAAGGAGATTGGGACTTTGGCATATTTCTATACAACTGAGCGGGCCTGGGTCTCATGTGATTGGCTACCAAACCAGCTGGACCGGCCACTGCTCAGCCTGAGCTAATACAGATGCTGTGTGTCAAGCCACACATCTGCTCTTTGCTTGGGTGAGGACAGGGTTCAGGGATGCTTTGTTTTGAAGGTAGGTTAGGATTGGAAAACTGTGTTACTTATTGTAGGGCCCTTATGATGGTATGGCTTGATACTCATCTTTGGGGTCAGTAATAGGTAAACATCATTTACCTTGAATGCTCACCCAGTCTTTGGCACATTTAATTATGTATTATCAATTAGGTGGGAAGGTTTGTGCTTTACCTCGCCAGTTTGTCAAACCTGTTTTAATGTTTTGTTAAATCACAATTTTTGTCACACAGAGCCACCTGAAGAATTACTTCAAAACTGGAAACAAGCAATTATTTTTCTTGCTTGATGCGGTGAAGAAGCATTTCCCCAAGCTGTCATACTGCCAGGATGAACAAAGGGTATGTTGAAAATATGAGCTTTAACATTTGGTACATGCAAAGTAGATAGTTGTGTCTCAAATTTTTGAAAATAGATGAAAACTAAACATGTTTCTGTCTTTTTTCTCACAGAGAGTGATGGATGATGCCTATAAGCTCATTGTTCATATTTACGTCAAACATCTTATCAAAACCAGCCAGAGAAAACTGAAGAAGTGCTGGAGTTCTGATGTTGAGAAAACAATCACTGATGATGCTGAGCTGATTCACATCAAAATCTCAGACCTGGTGAGATAAATGTTTTGGTATAAATCTCTAGAAACAGAACTATTTTGTTTTTATAAGAGTGAATGCTCAACATGAATTCTTCACTGGTTACAACCCTGATTCCTCACCTGTATGTCCTCTGCTCTATCAGGCTCCTGGTGTCCAAAAGAGGAATCTCCTGCTAGTAAAAGTCGTAGACGTGTTGAACTGCCAGGACATAGACACGATGAAGCTCATAGTTGCTACAATGCAGAAATACTATCTCACTGACAGGTAAACTGATGTTTCTTATACCTATTGAAACACTATCTTTAGTCTGAAACAGACTCTAAACTGACATAAGGTAGAAATAAACCCATAAAACAGGCTTTCTACTGTGTGTGCGTTATAAAGCTGGAGTGCACGTTGGAGAGGCTCGGTTACGCACGGTTTACGCACGGCTGTATTGGTCGGCTTTACGCTGGGCGTGACAATCAAGCTACCATTTCAGAAACACATGCAGTCAAACACAAAGTGATGACAAGTAGGTTTTTAGTTCACACAGACTTTTACATAGAATACAAGTCACAAAACACCACAGAGAACGGTCAAGGCCTGCTGACAGCGAGCACTGGTGTGAGGGTGGACGTCGCATTTCAACTCATGCACAACTAAATAACACAGCATCGAGCATGCAATCAGAACTGGGAGCGTATGAAACTAAAACATAGTTAGATAACAGAACGCTTACCTGTTACCTGCTGATTGTACTGGGACCCGGCAACATCCCAAAGTAAGATCCGGTTGTGACTCGGTTATAAAATCCATCAAAGTCCTGGTTCACTGCGGCCAAACGTTTTTCAATAGGCGAGCCGAGTTAAAACGTCTTTACTGTGAACTACGTTAAAAACATTTACACTGATGTTACTATAAATGCAACACCTGGCTGGTTCCGGCAATAACACGCGTGCCCATATTTATTAAAGGACTGTGGTGAAGCCAAAGAAAGGGAGGGAGCGCCATCTAGTGGAATTATTATGAATATGCAAAGTAACTTGTAATTAAAGTTCAGAAGTAAAAAGTACATTTGCTTCTGTACTGTTGTGGAGTAGAAAATAAAGTACATATACCTCAGAACTGTTGTTAATATACTGGACAAGCTGGACTGAAACATCACTATTCATATTCTAAGACTAACAAGTATCTACTGGAGCATTTGCAGGTTAAATTACTGGAAATGCTGTAATTCCCATGTTTTTTCAGATACATTCAACATAATAAAATAAAACTGATTTTAACAAAGTGAATCAACAATTAGCTTTCATAAGATCTCACATGTACAAAAGTACAGTTAATAAGTCACAAATATGTTATCTAGGTACATTTAGGTAGGTGTAATGTCATTGCTCCAGTGTTTTAGTTGTGGTCTTGTGTGCAAACATGAGAGTAAACATCTGCACTGTCTGTCTACATTCTGGATTTTCTTGAAACCTTGAGACAGTTGGAGGAGCTGGAGCTTTCTAACTCTTCCTGGTATTTTCCCCTTAACAGTAGTGAGGACCTGAAGCTCCTGTCCAACCTGCTGCAGTGGAAAGGTCTGTCTAAATGGGAGGTGAGGGAGGTGCTGGACGCCCTTCCTACTGAGCATCAGCCCAGACCCAGATCTAGATGCTGGTCCTGCTGCTGCTGTTAGTAGAGCAGCTCTACACGGGATCAGCTGGAACAAGCTGAGAGGGAGATGGTTCTTTGAAACATTCCTGAGATTTTTCATGTGCTATGCTGATCAAACTCACTCCGTTACTGATTTCACTCGTCAGACCTGATGTCAGGGCACAGATGTGGAAAAAGAGAAACATCTGGTTTTATAAACTTGTCACATGTAAAATTAAGACTAAGCTCAGCATCAGAATCAGCTTCATTGTTGAGCCTTGTTCAAACTCACTCCGTTACTCATTTCACTCGTCAGAGCTGATGTCAGGGCACAGATGTGGAAAAAGAGAAACATCTGGTTTTATAAACTTGTCACATGTAAAATTAAGACTAAGCTCAGCATCAGAATCAGCTTCATTGTCCAGGTTTGTTGAACACACGAGGAAACGAGTGGACAAGTAAACAAGATTAGACTGACAGCAAGAAAAGAAAAAGGAATGTGCACTGGGAAATTAAAAATAAAGTACTTATAAGATATATGTGTATATACACACAGTTTAGATGGAACTAAGCTCAAGTGTTGTTGTCATAAGGTAAACTGAAATCTTGTTTGCCATCTTTTTTATGTATGTACAATTTTATGTAAATAGAAATCAACATGTAGTGTTGCTTCGCTGAGATTAAGTCCTCATTTAGTGAATCTTGGCTTAAAACAAAGAGATGAGCTAATTTGTTAAGCTATGCATTTTGTAGATAATTAATTTATTTATATATACTTTGGTTTTTAAGGTGTTAAAGCTGTGAGATGTTTGCACACCGTTAACAGTAAAATTAGGTTTTTGTGCAAATAATTATATTTTAGCTAAACCTAAACACTACAGCACAAATAAGCACAAAGAATTCAAGAGGAAGAAGATAAAATAATGGGAAAGACTTATTTTTTTCACCATCTTGTTATCATTTTGTTTTGTTCCAAATCCACAGAAGTTCATTTGTGACTGATGCAGTGTCTGCTCATTATTGAAAGTTACCAGAGGGAGGTTACTACATCATGTTCTTATTTTAATCATATTTACAAATTTGACTTTATTATATATATAATTTATAATTGTATACATTATATAATTTATTTATATGAATTACAAAACTCTCCCAGTAGTCACAGGGTCACAGGGTTACAGTAATAACAATACTTCTGAATTATACTTGAACTATTCTGTTCAAGCTTGAAACCTTTTAGCTACATGAGATATTGTGTTTAGTTTGTAATGATTTTGTAAGCAGGGATCTGCAGAAAATCAGGGAATAGATCTGGATTTGCTGTAATTTCAACTTCCTAAACTTTAAATGATGTATTGTACTGAAACTGCGGGGTACTTTAGGTGTCAAGGTATGTTTACTGCATGGAGTTACTGGTTCTATTTGTTCTCTTTATACCAGTGTTCTATTTTCTGATTCAACATATTTAAATTATTTTTCACTCTACAGTGATTCATGAGTTACTGGGACACAAACTGTCAGCTATGTTGTGAATAAACTTCAGCATGATTCAGTTAAAACGTTTTCCCCTGTGTGTTCGTGGTACTTGCAGTAATGACCACTAGATGGAGACTGACGTCTCTGATCAGACACCAGAGGAGTCTGCAGGCTGGGACCTATCATGGGTGTCAAGATAAATCTGAGGCTTCTCCAAATGATTAAAGCACCATGAAAACATTTGTATATAAAATTGCTTTTGTGTTGTGAAATACAAGAGAATTTAACTTCCTCTGGCCTAAAAACCCTTAAATTAGGACAGGTAAGACCGGAATCTCTATGTTACTGGTAACCAGTGTTTTTATTTTGTTTTGACCACTTCAGACCTAAGAATATAAATATCCATAATTACAACATTAAAATATAAGTGAAATATTTTATTTTGGTGTGCCCAAACACCACTTATGGATGATCATCCTGTAGGAACCTTGAATGTGTCTGCAACATTTCATGACAACAGCTGTTGAGACATTTCAGGCTGGACCAAAGTGGTGGACTGATGTTACCGTTACTAAAGTCACCATGTGTGGCAACCAATAATACTATAAAGAAAATGCTAAGTGGTTTATTTTTAGCTTTTACAATAACATGAAGTCCAGTCCCATGAATAGCTAAAAAATTGATGGCAGAACTAATCTGGCTGCTGAATCCACGACAGCAGCCATGTCTGGGTCAGTGGCTCACAGCAGGAAAGCACCATGACTTTACACCTACCAGCTTCCAGTTAGAGTACAAATCAGCCTACTCAACCCGGGTACTTTTCACTGGAAATGACTTTAATGAGCTTCACTCCCTCTCGCTCTCCAAAGGAGCAGCTGTGTAGTGACGCCTCCCTCCTGAGCATATCCTTCCTCCTACACCAATATACTGTACAAACACAAACAAACTTTCAGGAAAAAAGACTCCACACTGCCAGTAATTTGTGACAACACTCGCTCCATCTCCATGCTCTGTCTTCAGGAAAGGCCATTCAGTGTAATTATAACTTAAAAATAATAATTGGAAATGCCCAGGCTCAGTGCGTGCAGGCCATGTTCCTGCAACAGGGAGAATGATTTCCTAGAATTGTTCATGATTGACTGGATCTGAAATTGAAGTGTATGATCTAGCAAAACAGTGGTTTTAACACTCACCAAAGAATAGCCAATGATCAGGACTTGGCACAGTTTCAAGCCCTGACCGCTGTCTTCCCTGCAGGAAACCTTTTCAAAGGGATATTGTTGTTGTTGAGCTGCGTGAGTATAGAGAGGACAATACTGGATAAGGATAAGGATAATCACCTTTACTGGCCAAGTATGTTACACACAAGGAATTTGTTTCAGGTACAGAACCGACTGGACCACGTCATTGGTCCAGACTAAAATATCTCAACAGCTATTCAATTAATTACAATTAATTCTATGCACTTATTCATGCTACTCAGAGGATGAATGCCTGTGCCTTTTTATCTTTACCTTTAGTTTTCTCATTCTTTCAGGGACAATGCACATTAATCAATGTAAATATACCAGCGGTAGCCAAAAGGCCCATTTTCAACAGTTGTCCCTTGGCCAGATGTGACGTTAGCCATTAAAACAATAATTAAACACACAGCACACAGAGGGTGTGATGAGAAAGAGCAAGAGAAACAAAACATGTGAGGCAAACATTGTGAAGTAGTATCATAATCAATGCAGACAGTTAACATAACAGCGTTAAGTGTACATCCAGCTTCTGTACATCCAGTTAAAACATGGCAACATAAACTCACACTAACCAAAGGGAACATAAAAACAAACAAGGCAAGCAAGCAGTGACTTGGTGTGAAGGCAGATCTGATTTCTTTTTAGCCAAGTTTTAAAGTTTCAGTATATGTAAAAGAACAGTAATGGGAATAGAAACCACATTTAGTACTCTATTACTCTATACTTACTTTATATTACAAATATGATAAAAAGATAAAACCAATTTCCTGCAAAATTATGACATTTGCTTCAGTTGTTTCTTTAGAGCTAGGATAGCAAGCAAATATTAGCATGCTAACAGGACAAACACTAAGATGGTGAAGATGATTCATATTATACCCTTTTACAAATCGGCATGTTAGCATTGTCATTGTTAGCATGCTAATGTTAGCATTTAATGTGCATAAGCTTCAGAGAGCTGCTAGCATGACTGGAGAACATTTTCACACACATGAGGGTGTTGTACCCGGTACTTTTTACCATACGGACTCTGAGAGACGAGACAGTCCAAGTAACTACAAAACAGTGCTGATTTATTCAAAGGATCACAGGTAAAATTAACATTACACGCTCAGGTATCTTGCACCTCCAACCTGCAGCAGGCAGATGTAAGATGAAAGACCCTGAACCCACCAGGCCTATACATTATATCCCCTCGGTTGGGCTAGCCCCATACTACACAGAAACGTCAACCGAGACGTCTCTGTTACCAGCTTTGCAGCTGGTCATAGCAGTAGTCAAAACATGAAGCAAATCAACATGTGTGTGTGTCTGTTGATTAAGTGGTGTGTAGCTAAAAACATTCTCACACGACCTCTGGTAACATGTCGTGATATTAAACATAAGAACATATTATGGCTAAGGCTACTGTTATACACGTCATAATAATATTAAACATCCTGTCTGCTGACAGTCATCAACTCTTCTCTCTAGTTATCCTTGACCAGATGTACCCTGTAGAAACTCATAAGCATGACTAAGCATTTAACAGTCTAACTAGACATCCTATCTCCACTAAACATTTCTAATACATAAAGTATCTATCCAATATCTATCTGACTAAAAATACCTAACAAGGGCTTCACAGGAAACTGCAGCATGTAATCCAAGGACACTTTTTGTTTTATCTGATTTATATTCAGCAGTAACCTCTCTGCTGTTCACTCCCATTACACTGTATCAAATTACTGCTAATGCAAACTGAACATTTCCTACTGCTGCCGCTTCACAATAATAGCATTCAACTGCCAAAACTAAAAGTGACGTTTATTGTGAAACAGCCACAAAAAACAAAATGTATTTGTCACCGATGTTAGCAAGCTTAATGATTACAACTTTGACCTTTGATGATTTCCAAAACACATGCTAAACATCTGGTTTGTGTCTAAATGTGTCAGAGCCGCTCAGCGGCCGCTGCCTCTCCTTCGCCTTTTTCTCTCCTCTGTTCTCTCGACCTGTGGGATTCGCACCTCAGCTGTGTTGTATACATAATTAGTGATTTGTTTGTCGGTTAGCAACAACCTATATACGTGCCTTTGTTTTCCACGCTGATAGTTCCTGTGCTGTGGATTGCATTGTGTACACTGGTCTTTTTGTTCTGTCACCTGTCCATCTTCATCTTCCTGCCCTTTTGGCTTTTGCCGTCAGTCCCTGGATTCACCTGTTTGTTTCCCTCCACCATCTCTACTCTACCCGAACTTTTATATACTTGGACTTTATGTTCTTTTGATACTTTGTGTTCTTTTGTAACAAGCAACCAACATGTTTTTCCCCCTAGCACCTGGGTCTGCAAACTTGAGTCCAACCTCAGTCCTCCCTCACCCTCCTGGTGAGGGGGGGCCA